CCCCTGAGATAGATCCCTGCCAGCACCGCCTAAGGGGAAAAACCATTCCTTGCATGGACTTCCAAAACAAGCAAGTCAACAGCAAGGAAAAGTCCGTGCACCTCCCACTAGCCTCTTCAGAGCATCCCACATGGTTTCAGAGATGAAGGCATAACATGTCTCAGGATGGGTCTGGACTTGAACCCTACAGCAACAAGGGTGACAAGGATCCTTCAGGAATGTGTATGTAGTCTGTGCGGACCAAAACATATGGATTGATGTTGTGCAAAAGCAATTAAGGAAGCCTCATGAAGGGAACCAGTTTTAAAGGGGGATATTGCCTAAAGAGATGCCTTTTGGGGGAGGAATTTTCTTGTTCGCTGTTTCTGACCTCCCATAGTTTTTCACTAAACACTCTTGGCTCTCAAGGAGGCTGTGGTTATACCTCTGAATTCAGGGTCCTGAAGGCGAACGCTTGCTTGTGTCCCTCCTTCTGGAAGGATAAAAGGAAAAGGGAATGAGAACATGACAACTATTTTTATTTTTTCTTGCTTGGGTAGCAGCAGCCCCCTTTAATAGTGCCCCTTGGATCTGTAAGACATGCTTGACCAGACATACCTCTGGAAGAGGTCAGCACTCCTGGGATTAAGAAACTTAGCAACGCTCCAGAGAGGGAGTTGGAAAGTCATGTTTAATGATACTTTGCTGAGAAACTAGGCAAATTTAATTAAAACATCACTTACTCAAGCCCAGTGGAACTAATTGAGTGCTCTAATATTCCGACTTTTCATTAATGGGTTACAAAAGAGGGCTGCACTTGTGTGTACAAGGGGGAAAAAGAAAAAGAGGGGGGGAGGATATAGAGAAGAGAGCTTTAGCAAGGCTGCCTGTGCTTCATTTAATATAACCAAGAAACTTCATTGCTGGCAACGGAGCTTTAATGCAGTTGACTTCTCTCACCGCCGCCCCCCATCCCCTTGACACATACACACATCTCCCCCCCAACACACACCCTCTCCACCCAAGACCCCTCTGAAAGAATAGCTGAATGAGCAGGAGTAGACTGGGCAAAGGCAGGGAAATTGCTTTTTTAATAAGTGGTCTATTCAGAGCTCCTACTTTTCAATAAAGAGAAGGCTGGAGAAGTCCTGGTCTAATTACCTCATCCTCACGCTAGACAAGCTCGCCCTTTCATTAGCGATTGAGGTCATATCATATAACTTTGTGAGCCATCACGGGCACAACATGTTCAGTGATTATTTCATTGGTGGCGGCAAAATTACAGTTGGCCCATCAAGGTTGTAAAAAAAACAGAAGTAAAATAATAATTAAATGAGAACGTCTACCAAGAGACACTAAAACTAGGCGGGATAGGATAATGTCACCCTCGCAGAAATACGGAGATTGTTTGCTAGTGTGACACCATGGAGAAACTGCCGTGTTGACCAGAAGGGTATAGTGTTGGTTGCCAAATCAGTCAATTAAGCACAGGTCCTTTTTTTGCTAGGTTCTCAGGGGACTATTTAAACATTTTGCCATGGTTGGGAGTAATCAGATGGGAAGGATTATATGTTGTTAAGAATCAGTGAGAGACCACCAAGCTTGTGCTAGGTCTTTACTAGATATTCCACCATGCCCTCAGTGAACACACACGTGCACATCCATATGTACACAGTCTGTACACCAACGTATTGCAGCAAGCTCCCATAGCAAAGTACTCGAAAAGCAAGTCTCCTTGTCCATTCCCAGCCCAGTCCAAAGAAGTCTGTAGAGCAGCAAAGGTTTTGGTTCCTGCACGTATGGCTTTGCTAACAGACATAAAACCTGCGGTTTGGTTAAAGGAAAAAAGACAGCGGGTGCCAAGCAGGAATTCAGGAGAGCTGGCTTCAGTCTCCTGCTCCATCATCGGCTTGCTGCATAACCTGGGGAAAGGCACTCCGTTTGCATCTCAGATTCTGCTTAAAATGGCCATAATCATCTTTTTCCAACTCACGGGGACATATAACACATTGGAGGCCATAAGGCCATCTTAGTTATACAAGTTCTCCAGCTGAAAATTACTCGGTTCCAAAATGGCGCAAATCAAGGCTATCTGCACACCTTCTATATTGCCTTCGAGTCACATCAAATACTTATGAGTTATTGCCCAAATAACCAAACTAGGATAGTTCAAAGTGGTTTTCAGACTGTCATAGCCACTAGGTTAGTGTCTCTTGCTACTCAATGGTTGGAAAGTCTATAAGGCAGTAACTAGTTGATGGGCAGCTTGTTTGGAGAAAGACGAGTAGAGGAAACATGCTGAGTTTCCGATTTAACCCACTGCCTTCAACAAGGAAAACACCAATAAATTCAGCAAGGGAACCTAGTACCGCCTGCTGAGCAACTCTCATCCCCCACCAAGGCAGTGGGACCAGGAGGAAAGAAGCTGATTGAACCTGATATTAATCCACACCCAAATGTAAGTAATTCCAGAGACAGTCCATCAGCCACACCGAGAAGGTCAATGCTCAGGCTTCAAATCGGTTTCGATATTTTGAAATCTTAAGCAAGCGTTGCAAGTTTTGACCTTGCAATTACAAAGACAGCCTGGGTCCTCATCTCCGACTCAAACATCTCTGATCATCTTCTCAACGACGCCACATTGTGCCAATGGCTTAGGTCCACGCATTCTGCCTATATAGATGTACATTCTCCTGATCGTGAACCACCATCCTCCTAAAAGCTTCCCTCTCAACATGCAGTTCACTTGTTCTCTGCCTGGCTTCACAGTGCTGTTGTGAATCTGGTGGGCTGCTTGGCTTGCCTTTCAACCAGACTAAGGTACAATTATTTGAGGAGCATAAACAGAGAAATCATTTCAACCACTGCTGCAGATGGGCAAGGAAAGCTGTCAGACAGCAATACCAACTCGACAGACACGGCGTGGGTGGACAAAAATAGGAACACCAGATCACTGACCTGCAGCAAAGGTCTTTGACTTGGATTGCCATGAGGGCTCTCAGTGTCTGGACAACCGTCACAACTGTTACTCAGCTGTTTAGCTGCAGATATTACACTAGTGCTTAGAAACCACTGCCAATAACCAGGGCCTGACCATGCCAAGTAAAGTGGAGGCAGAGGTTGCAAGAGAGTCCCTGACATCTCCCCCTCCCCTGGGAACTGGCTCACAGAGCGATCAGGACAAGAAAGGGCAGGCAGAAAGGGGAGGTTCACTCCCACCAGCTCATCCTTGGAGTTCATTTAGCTCAAAGTCACGTAGACAGTGTAGAGCAGAGATGACAAATAAGGACACCTAACCTAAATCCAAGACTGAGTCTCAGCTGTATGGGCATCCTGGCTGCAGCTACTGGGGTGGAGAGCACTGGGAGTTAGGTTAAGTCCCTTGGGTAAGGTTTTTAGCCCCACCACTTCTGGAAGGGAGACATTCATGGAGTTACAAGTACAAGTCAATGGCATGTGAAGCCACAGCCTTGTAGGTTTTGATGAGACTGTATTATATGACTCTGGAGAGGGAGGAGTGCAGGGACATCTCACAGCAATCTCCAGCATGAAATCACAGCCTCCACGGACAACCTTCTCCATTTTTAGTCTCATCTGCTACATGGCCAACTCCAAAGAGTTGGGACAGGCCTTTGGGAACAACAGACCACAAGGATTAAAACAAGTTTCACCACCCTGCAAAGCCCGTTTCACATGCCAAAGAGATGCAACAGGGCTTCAGAGGCACTGAGCTTTTTAATCCAGAGGCACAAAAGCTGTCAGCCAAAGCCAGACACCAGCTAAATCCGGGATATTTCTAATCCTGATCTCAGCGCTGTCTAGGAGCATCTGGTGGTGGGGAGAGGGGGAGACGTTTTGCTGGCCAGCACTCACTGGTGGCATTCTCCAATGCCCCAACTCTGTCGTGAGGAATGACATTTTATGCATACGCACAGGAACAACTGAGCTGGGCTGGCGATTCCTAGAATGCACAACTGGCTGGGCTGCATTTGCCTGGGAAACTGGAGCCCTAGGTCTCCCATCCCAGCCCCAACCCTCCATCCAATCACACGGACAATAACAAGGCTCAAAGGCTATTTATAGCCTTACAGTATGTCCCCCTTCGAGGTTGGCGCAACGAAACACTGATCCTAGGCACCTGTGCTGGCCAATCTGAGGGATTTTCGTGTTCGAGCAACTCTAGGCTAGGTACAGCCAAGCAGATTATGGGAGAAGGTGGAAAGCCCCTTCCTTTCCCCTCTCTTGCCGGGATGACCCAGCAATTGCAGATGCTTTGTGCTTTCCATCAGTCCTGGAGGGAGACCCGCAGGCAGGAGGGTAAAGCCTCGTGCGAAGAACGTGGGGTAAAGAGCAGAAAACCTTCCAAGCTGAGAGGATGAGGATGGGAAAAGAAAAAAGGACAAGGGAAAAGGAAGGACTACGCACCCAAGCGCTGTCAGCTGCAAACCCAGCAGCTCTAGGCAGAGTGGAAGGCTGCCAGAAAAAAAAAAAGCTGAAGGGACTTTTAGGACTGAGGTCAGTCAGAGAGGATATCTCCACCCTGGTTCCCTGCCAGGTGTTTGTCCAGCCAGTTTTAAAGAAACCCAGCTATGGAGATGCTCCAGTGTCCATGCTCTGTTAAACTACTGCAAGAAAAGCATCCCTCAGCCTGTGTTGTGGCAGCAAATCTCTTCCTCCTTGTCCTACCTCATGTAAGCCTGGAGAACCTGCAACTCCATCCCTTTGCACTGTAAGACCCTCTCCTCTCTGTGGAAAGCCAGCAATCTTTCCCCCCATCTCATGTTTTCTAGACCTGGACAGTCCTGTTTCTTTCCCTCCGGTCTCCCTCCAATGGTTTTGGCACAACTCTTGAAGCACAGCGACAAAACCGGGGATTAGTCCCATAACTAAGACTTCACCTTTCCAACGGAAGGATCACTCCACGTGTTTTGCATCCAACGCTCCTGTTTCCCCACTCGAATGCAGCACCTTATCGCCCCTACAACAGCATGAACCCGGGCCCCGAGCAGTCTGCAACGCACCTTCATGCCCACGAGATTATTGTGGAAGTCCACCCTGGCTCGCAGGTCCTTGTTGGGCTTCCTCCCCAGGAACTCCTTGACGAACTTGTTGCTGTATTTCAGGTTGTCGCCGCAGCCGCCCCACTGCCAAGCCTCACGGTTCTCCAGGTCGGGGGCCTCGTCGCAGGTGCAACGCTCCATCCGCCCCGCACTGCACGCCTTGGCCATGGCGTGCGTCAGCCCTGCAGAGGAGATGGCGTACAAGAAGGCTGTCTCCTTGAAACCTGCAGGAGAGAGGAGGCGGCAGCTTTAATTGCAGCTGGAGCAAAGGTTAAAAAAAAAAAAGTAAAAAAAAGAGGAAATTGAGGCAAAACCCACTGTGAGAAGAATTTGAGCAACGTCAAAGCATGCCAAGCTCTACACGCATCACTGGTGGTGGAGAGGACATAGTGGAGAGCAAGGAATGATGGACAGAGGTGGCACAAGCCAGGATGCAAGAACGCAAATGAAATCTGGCCAGCTCTGTGGCTGTCACTGTGCAGTCTCTGCCTGAAAACAGAAAGAGGTAAGTGAGAACTAGACAGGCCATGGAGGTACTGTCACCATGGCACAGATATACTGCTACCAAGGGGATGCCAAATATCAGGAACCCAGTGTAGACTTCCAGTCTGATGTTTGGGGTAGAAATCACGGGTGCTCCTTGTTCTTCCCTCTCCCCCAGAAAAACAAATCTCAAGGTGCTACTCCAGTCCAACAAAATTGTTAACAAAAAGCACCTGAGGGCTGGAAAGCACACAGTAGCCAGCCTGTCACCCACTGCGCCTCCTCAAAAGCCTCAAAAAGCAGTTTGCACCTCAAACCTTTCACATACAACCCTTTTTTTACACCTCCATGCTCACCTGCAGGGATGCAACAGCATCTGCTCCCCCCAATAGGTAAACTGAGGCCCAGAGAGACACCCCCCCATGATTTTGGTCCAAATGATAAAGCCAGAAATAAAAAGCAAACATGCCAGTATTTATAGCTCCTCATTCTCCAGCTATGGAAGCCGTAAACGACTGCATATTTGAGATGCAATTCCAGAACAGCTTTGGATCCGACTCAAGAAATCCCCCACTCAAAAATAACACAAGTGGATGGTGACAGTAGTGGATATATCTGTAAGCTGGCGTGTCAACCAAGGACACGCAGAGACACTGCCAGGTCATTTTTGGAACTGTTCCTTGGGAGGTTCATGGTAGTCCAAGCAAGCTCATGGAGTGTTACCCTGGCCCATCCCCAGGAGCCTGCCTTCCCAAAGCACTCCCAGGTGCACGATGCTGAACTTCAGCAGAAGGCAGATGAAAATCCAGTCCAGAAGGCTGATGTTTGGTCCTCCCTAGGGGGCTGACTCAAACCAGATTGTGGTAGGAACTGTCCGACCGTTCTACTGCTCACCTGGAAAGGAAGAGCAGGGACCTTTCCCTCATTGGAAGGAAGACTAAAATAAAAAAGGCTCAACTCCACACTCACTGGGCACACCATAAAGAATGGTCAGGGTTGAGAAACTAAATTTCTTTCCTTTTTTTAACTCTTTGTTTTCTCCCTGAAATTAGACCATGTTCTCTGGCACCCCCGAAAAATCTTCAGCATTGCAAACTCTCTCCCTGGGAGTGGCGGGAGAATTTTTTACTTCATTCCCACAACAAAAACTCTTGGAAATGCAGACCAAACTCCTCTGGGTAGAAAATGCTTTCCAAGAAGCTTTCACCTTTTGCAGGTTAGCTCAGCTTTTTCTGGGTTACACCCTATGTCAGACTGTCCACACGCCTGTCAGAGGGATGCCACTACTAGACAGAGATGCTCCCAAGCCTCCACGCTCCTGAGTTGTAGAATTGGCCTCTTGCCACGGCTACTACTTGTGCTATGAAACGGAGAGGTACCAGTGCGCTAACAGAAGGGCCGCGGTGGAATAAGGCATGCAAACTCTTCTCTAAGAGCCCGAGACATTGTGTTTAGCAGCAAACAGCCCGGATGCAGTCCAGTTTAGTAGACAGCCCAGACCTACAACCTGCTTGAAGGCCTCCTGGTTTGAAGGACTGAATTCAGAGCGGTTGTGTAATCTCAGCAGAAAGTCAGCGCCGCGCAACCACAATGCATACCAGGTTGGACAGGAAGCCAGGAGGAACGGTTCATTTGCCAGGTTCTCCCCCCTCCATCCATCTCCTCACCAGCTTTGGCTCTACTCCTCCCATTCTCCATCGCTAAAAGCCTCACAAATTCCCGGTGCCCATCAGCACGGGTATCATCTCGCCCACAGGCAGCTCAGGCGGCTTCCAAGCAAGTCCATGTGACATTTGGCTCTGGCCAGATTTAAAGCCATCTCCGCCACGCACTATTTGATTGCACCAAGATATTTTGTAACAAGATAATGAGCTTTAAATCAATGCAGGCATTCTAACCCCCAGTGCAGCGACAGCCTGCCGTCCGCAGCTATCCAGTTTCAGCCATTTCCAAAATTGTTCACGAGTATCCCAAGAGGATAACAAGTCCCTTAAAACAATCCCCGGTTACTTTTAAGAAACGGGCTGCATTTGCAAGTCGCAAACCAGCAGCCGGGCTGGTCTGGTCACAAGTGTAAAAATGGAGGGAGAAACTTTTCTTAAGTGAAATGTGGGGTGGGTTGTGGGTTTTTTTGGCCTTTCTTTTTTTTTTCCTCCCCTCTTTAAAAAGCTGCCATGGTCCTGGAGGAGAGGAAGCAAGCCCACACCGACGTATTCGAATAGCCGTGTCTTAGTGGGTGATACATGTGCCCCTTTGCCCTGGGGTATCACTTGCCGCAATGCTGAACCAGGAACCAGCAGCTCCCGGAGAGGAGGAGAAAGATTTACAGGGCAGTGTGTTACGCTGTGGGAACACCATCCGAAGGATTTACAGCATCGGTGGAGGGCAGAGATGTTGCAGGGGCATAAAACATGGAAGAATGAGACAGCAGGCAGAGCCTTGCAACCCTCAGAGCTCCCATTTATTACAGGGGGTCCTGACAAGGGGCGAGGGGAGGCGGGGTGGTTGGTTCTCCGAGGTGTTTTAAGGCAGCTCAACTCTCAGCTGCCTCAAAATACCCCTTTGCCGAGGGCTGCCCACGGGGGCAGGCACGTCTGAAGGAACAAGCTGTGGCCTCCAGGTGTCAGCATGAGAAAGTGCTTGGCTTCCCCAAGGCGCCACTAATCCAGGGACTCCTCTGGCATGCAGGGATATTTTTAAACGTCTTGCAGCTCTGGCTGGACCTCTTGGGTTTCATAAGGACTTTCCTTGTTTCCACTGCAGTCAGTGACAGTGCATTAGTTTAAGCCCCAGCGCTTCTGAATTACTCCTGCTCGCTAATTAGCGAGGGAGGGCGCTTTGCAGACCTCTGCTCTGCTCGTTGAGCACAGTGGTTTCTAGGTGCAGCTCCATCGCCGCATGTGGGACTTTCTGGAAGTCTCTAAGACCCTCGAGACCCATGCAAGCTATCTGTAAGATGGTCCTGCTGCACCGTCAGCTTCATTCCAGAAATAAGAACTGGATTTTACTGGGAGGGTGCAGGAAACTGGACTATATGTGTTAGCACAAAGGAAGGAGATAAAAATACCACCTGTTCCTCCAATACTCTCTCTCAGCTTCTGGTCATCTCCACCTGAGCTGCTGGGAAGGGGTGGGGGGAATTACCCACCACTCACATCCAGGGACCTTTTCCCTGGGTAGAGCAGTAACAGGACACACAAACATTTAAAAGTTCTGCCCTGCGCTAGGATAGGGCTCCCCTCGCCCCCACTAATAGGACAGCACAGAACAGTCTGTTTTGCCTTATTTCCCTTAACAAGGCATTTTCTCAATCTCTTTCTGGAAAGATTGCCATAATAAATAGGAAAAAAAAAAATAATTAAAAAAAAAAAAAAGAAAAGAGAGAGGGGACATCTTTGGGAACTTCAACACCCTCCAGCACCAGCTCAACTTCCAGAAGAAGTGAGGAGGAACCATAGTTAGTGGCTGTAGACACCGGCACGAACATCTCCAGCCTCCAAAGAGAGGAGCTGTGTCCACCAACGAGAAGCAGGCAGGAGCCGCTTCGCTAGCACGCACACATAAATTACCACCATATATCTCATCCTTTGCCTGCTGCGCGCTTTCACGGGTGAGCTGAGCTGGGCTTTGTCTTTACCTTCTAAGAGCTCTTTTTGGACCTCTGGGGAGGTGGCCACCCACCACTGGCGAAAGATGTATCAGGATGACCACCCTGCAAAATGCCAGGGAAGGTGATGGGTGCAGAAGGTGTCTGGACCCCCAACAGACCCCCGACATCCTGCTCACCTCTCTTTAGCAAGCTGGCCCGGTAGCGACCCTCGAGGGTGCAGTTCCAGCGCTCAAAGCGAAATTGGTACTGGCACTCCAGGGCGCTCATGCTGATGGCCTCCATCAGGGTCTCGGCCACGCCGGGGTCCCGCCGGCACATCCTGCGCTGCTTCTTCTCCAGCTTCAGGCGGTCACAGACTTTGTAGTGGGCTTTGACGGCAGCTTCCTCCATTTCTGAGGTCAGAGGGAGGATGGTCAGGGGCTCGTTCCCCGTTAGCCTGCAGAGGAACAGAGGGACACAGCGGTGAGGACAGAGAAATACAACCCATGGTAGAAATGGGGGCTGTGGTGGGATCAGGCTCTCCCCAGCTGAGTCCCTTCGTGGGTTTGGTGATGTCTGGGCAAGGAGTGATTTTACAGCGAGGTTCTCCCTGTGGTGTGTCTGCAAGGTGGGAGCGAGAAGAGAAGGGTAAGAAGCTATATTTGGATTGATGTCCTCTAGCAGCTCTCACAGAGCTTGTTTGGACATAAGGCCTTGGCAATCTCCACCACAGGACTTGTGTTGAAAACTGAAATAGGGAAGAAATAATAGAAGGTACCTAACTGCATAAACTCAGGAAACAAGCAAAAAGACAGCAGCACTACAGCCACTCTCGTGTGCATAAAACAACCCGAATCATTTTAGCACATCAAGCAGAACTGGCTTGGGAAGGGCTAGAGGGTGATTTGTCCCACCAAACCCCAGGAGACACACCGAGAAAGCATGTAGAGACACTCTGCCCGTCAGCAGAAGAGATCCTTACATAAAACTTAGTGAGCCACAGTCTGAGAGCAGGATACACTCTTACAGGCGACACTGCCAAAAGCTTTTACAAGGCAAAACGAGCTCAAAACCAAAAAAAAAAAAAAACCCACCAAAAAAAACCCCACCCAAACAACCTGAAGAAATACGTGTCCCATCACCTTCTCCCCTCTCCTGCCTTGTCCCAGCACAAGGTCCTTGAATGGTACAATGAGCAACAAAAGAGGCCAACGGACTGGACTGTTCCCGGTGTCAAGTGACGAGAGCTGCTGGAAAAGGACCAGGCTGGCATCGGCCCCGAAGAGCAGCGAGGCTGCAGGAACATCTGCTGGGCTCATGAGCGGTTTTGTTGGCCGGGTCTGCCCGCACCCCACTCTCCTGGCTCTGCCCTTTTCCGGCCAGGTGCCAGTCCACGCAGTCAATGGGAATCACTATGTAGGGTTTTTCGAAGGACCTGAAGACACGTTTCCCCAGCCAAAAAGGAAGAATCGCTTAAAGCCAGGATTGAAAATATGCTGGAACATCGTGACGCTGCACAGGCGAGCGCAGGGGTGGGTGGCAGGCTCAGACATCTCCATCACTGCAGGACCACCGGGGTGAATGTGGTGGTGGGCACGGGAGGGGAGCACACCCTCACCCCCTTTGCTGAACACAGAGGGATCCTCGAAACCCTTTAAAACCCCACCTGCCCTGCAGGAGCAGGGGTTTGCTTTTCCTTTTTTTAATGAGGATTTCTCTCTAATTAGCGGGATGCATCCTGCCAGGAGCACAGTCCCAGAGAGCAAGCAGCTAGGATGCTTCAGCTCTCAAACCTCCTTGCACAATTGGCACAAAATCCTCACCTGAGCCATGGCCAGAAATATCCCATAGAGATCCAATCATTACTAGTGATTTAACATCAGATGTCTAAAGGAGGCAAGAAAAAAAAAAAATGGTGGGCTCTGGATTTTCAGGAGAACAAAGACATGGGCAGGGAAAAGTTCTCCTACAGTTACCTTCAAAAGTATTAGGGTTTCTAGGCAAAAAAAACAGCAGTGGTAAAAATGGTCAGAGTGATTTGTTGGAAACATTCAAAACTAGTCTAACCAGCGTAAATTTCCCAAAAAATAGTTTTTTCCCAAAATTCTGCTCTCCCAAAACGACAAAAACATCTAAAAGGCCAAAGAGCAAGCTCTGTCTGAAGCACTGACAAATGTTAACCCTTACATTTTTGCTCTGTCTGGACGGGGACAGAGCGTGGGCTTGGGCTTGACTGCTCCCCAAGGAGATGGGACATCACCTAGCCCTGGTGCCTCGTTAATTGAAGCTGCGAGCAATCTTGTTCATTAGAAAGGTGGCTTGGTCTGAGCTTCACAGTAGTAAAGAAAATCTCCAGGACATTCATTCCCAGCCTTCATCAATAGTTCTGCTCTGAAGGTTCATCCCTGCAAGCTTTCACAGTTGGCAAAGGAGAGAGAGGGAGCTGTAAAAGCACTTTCTACAGCTCCACTTCCCCAGTTTACCTTTCCATCTGAGAAGGTACTGTTCAACTGTTCTGGAAAAGATAAGCTCCAAGTATCGTGTAGCAGATTGCGATCGCAGTTGAGGAGGGCCGCAGGAATGGATCCTACGGCCAAGATTTCTACAGAGCAATCGATGATTTTGAATCCCTTCCCCACCCTCTCCCTAAGGTGCTCAGCTTTGAGATACTTCAGTGTGTAGTTGCTGATAGCGCAGCCCAATTGCATGTACCTCCAAAGTGGGTCCCAATAAGAGTCACCTAAATAAGAAAACAAATAAAGGGCCAGGAACAGGGAGAAGGTAGAAAACAGGAGTTGTGCTGACAACCATCCAGCAGCCACTCAGAACCAATGGATGGGAAGTCCTGAGAAACAATAGAGAATTGTCAGCAATGCCCATTTTCACTGCTCTGTGCAAAAGGCTTAGGTAGGAGCTCACGAGCTCCAATATCTGGGACACGTGGGTAACGGCCATGGTGAGCGGAGACAGCTGGGTCAGCATGCAGACCCCTTCCTACAAAAGAAGGTCTGCAGAGTTCACCCCTTCCCAAGAAAACAACCCAAAGACAAGACACCAACGCGATGTTCTTATAAGGAAGGCAGAACACCACCTTTTTCCACCTCCTGTTTCCTGACGCAGCTCTGCCCTGTCCTCACCCATTAGAGAAAAGGGGATGTGAAAATCCAAGCTGGTGAAAAACAAACGCTGCAATGCGCACACTGAATGGAGACCCATCCATCGCTGCCTGGCTTATTGCTTGGACTAATTCCACTGGCTTTCAAGCTGGTATGAATCAAAGCGAAGCAAGTGAATTAAGAAAGCATCTCCAGAACAAGACAAGGAGTAAATTTAGGGGAAAGGGGCTTTTCCGAGCCAACAAGCAATGAAGCTCTTCCAGGTGAAGACCTCCACAAGCAAAAGCAGCACGCATGGACGCGCACGTAGGTTTCCCCTCCCCGGCGCTGGGTCCGTGCCCATTTCAGCGGGGGCTGGGGGGGACCGATGCAGACCGATGCCTCAGCTCTGCACACACGTTCCAGCAGCCCCGGGAAGAAGGGTGAGGTGGCACTTTTCAGAGCGTGGCATCAATAATAAACAAGTGCAGGCAGAGCCAGGGAGAGCCGGTGCCCCCACCTGAAATGCTGCCTTGGAGCTGCCGCTGCATGGAACCTTTATAATCCCATAAAGCCCTTTTATGCAACCTAGGCTGAGCGAGGTCCCGTAAGGCAACGGTGTCAGAGTCGGATGCTTTCTCAGCTCCTCACAAAGACTGAGCTGTTCCTTCCATGGAAGGTTTTTCGGAATGGGGGAGTAGGGGGTTGGTTTTTAATTTTATTTTATACACACCCCATCCACAACTGTTACGATTAAACTGCCAGCTAGCACTGCGCGATTGTATTTTTTTTAGATCGAGGGGGCTGAGCGTGAGATGAAGGTGTGTTTGTCCACCAGGAGCCTGGAGAGAGACCAAACAGCTCATTGCACACAACCCGCGAACCTTTAACTCTCTGGAAATTAACTCTGGCCTCTATGAGAGCAATAAGAGTCTACAAAGTCAAGAGACTGTTTCTACTTCAAGCTTGGACCTAATCTTCTGCGCACCTTGCCCAACTTCTGCTCCGAGTGTCACGCTTGCACTGCTCAGACATCAGGAAGGACCTCATTGCTCAGTGCCATACCCACCTACTTGAGAGGAACCTTTGCAACATCGTTTGCACTTTTCTCCTTCCAGTACAATCTGTCACACATTTGAAGCCAAGAAACAAGAAGGTTTATTATCGCCAGATGTAAATAGCAAGACCTATCCGGTTTGCACATACACTACTGGTGGCATTCGGCTGCCTTGGTTGTGAACTTCATGTCAAACTTTGCTCATTGCTTCACTCTCCTGGCGTTCAGACGCCAATCACCCCGGCTTGGGAGAGATCCCAAACACAGCCCCTGCCACCACACAACTCACAGCGATAGCTGTGTAGCCAAGTTTTATCTGTAGCTACGTGAAATGATTGCCCTTCCAGAGAAGCAGTTCAAGATGGGTCCTGCTTCCAGCTCACCTTAGCAGTCAAGAGCTTTTATCGCCACATGAGCTCACTCAGTGTCCCTGTGTTTTCCCTTATTTAACCAGGGACTTTCCTGATGAGAATTTGAGGGGGACGACACAGAAGTAAGGCGCCTGCATGGACCTGTGAGTGCACTCTCCTTTGTGACAAGCTGAAGAGTTTCCTTTGCAAGCGCCACCAGAGACGTGAGCCAAGGTGAGCTGCTTTCCTGCAAGGAAACGCCTCTGCTGTACCTGCCTGGAGTGACAGGCCTGCTGAAATATAGCATTCCTATCCTGGCGCTTCCTTCTCTGCCGGGAGATTTATCGTTGGTACATCTGTACAAAGGCCGAAGTGACTCTATTTTCACTTTTTACATGAACATTTTTCCTGCAGAATTGCTAGTCTTCCAATCTTTTTTCTTCTCTTTCCACTACTTCTTTCCTTTATTTAAGGATTTTACAAAGTTTCTGAAATGTCAACAACTTGTACACTAACCTTCCTCACGGCAATACCTAAATTAATGACTCCATAACTGAAGGAGCCAGACTGAGTTATGGTGCACACCAGACCTATATTTTGTGCATCCAACAACCTTCAGTTGCCTTCTCTCTCCCCCACCATCAGCACTCCCACACCGCAAAGAAGCTTACCTAAATTGATCTACCATGGTCCCCCCATCGCACAAAGGCTAATTGCTATTTGAAGAAGCCAAATGTCCAAGAAAACTCAGTGAATTCCATGGTGAGTGATGATAAGTGGATATTAGGAGCAAAAGTTGGCCATTGAATAATCAACTCTCTCATTCTGCACTGTGGTGTTTGTTTTTTAAGTGTTCACAGGTACAAGTGCCACCATTGTGCTCACACTAACTCAACGTCCTTTGAAAGAAACTACCTGAAGAGCGCTCATCGACCTCATTTCTGCTCTTCTCAGA